AATTCCAGTCCTCGCGTACCCCCGCTCTGCATATTTTGTATGTTTCTCTTATTGCTTCATACGTTTGTTATATTTGACTTTAAGTGCCCTGCGAAGTGGACATTACCGGATATTCCTCCATGATTCCTTTTTGAAGGGAGCGTATATGTTCCATACAAAGGGCATTTAAGTGTGCGAGACGTGAATTTAAATTGTATTTATTTACAGAGGTATATTATGTCCCACTTCACGCTTCTCTAGTAAGTTTCGTTTGTGTGTGAAGATGCTGCAGGCAGCGGCGCAGCGCAAATCTGTAAATGAATATTCCGAAGTGAAGTAAACTTCAACGGATTTCCCCTGCTCAGGGAGTAGGGAGCAATGGACACTGTGTAGGGACCATGTCAATCGGAACACAGTTCATGCACGGAGCTCACTTCTAACAAGATGATCTGAATCAGGTGTGTTAACAAAGAGAGACGTGCAAAACATGCAGAGCAGGGGTACGCGAGGACTGGAATTGAGAACCGCTGGTCTAGAACAATTCTTACAAGTACAACACGACGTAATGTTAGCTGGGCGCCGCGAACGGCGCTGCCGGTGTGCCTACACTCATAGAAAATAATGTATTTGAATTTTAAAGACGTGGCGTGACGCTGCGCTTCTCGTCCGGTGCGCAACCGCCTGAAACGCTGTTTTTTTCACCTCCGTGCCCAAACGTCTTTGGGCTTCCGAAAGCAGATGTTGTCAGGAAACAGTGGTTGCAATTAAAAAGGACCCCTTTAAAGATTCCTAAATGCATCTACTTTCGGAAGGCCAAATAAAGTGCTTTTGCTTTCGCCTAGAAACACACAGCGTCTCCCTGACATGGCTGCTTCAACACTAACTGCGGTTACTGAAACCACGCCTTCTTTCTTTGCGTGCACATTTGGGCGGCATTACGCAAATATTTCCACATAGTGACGTAGATATGTGGGGGCGTGTTAGAACGAGCCGTTTTAGGGGGGCATGGCAGAGTCTTATCTTTGGTAAAGAATATCTCTTTGGTTTTGAGACTTTAGTCAAAGTAGACTTTAGCAACTTCAGGGATCTTATCTATGCACAATCAGCTTGTAACACTCCAAAGAGAAAGGAAAACTTGAAATCGCATCATATGACCCCTTTAAGGATAAGCGTTGCTGTAGTCAGGTCTCATGTTCAACTTATTTAAGCCATGGTCATGTGGAGGCTTGCATGGAATGTGTGCCCTCAGAATTCTACACTTCCTTCTGCCCCTTGCATGTTCATTCATTTCCATTTTAGAGTTGTAATCTATTACGCAGAATTATGACAGCTGCCCACACAAGCAGAGCAGTATGTGAGAAAAGGTGCAGATTCCATTTGAGCCTACGCATGTCTCCACTGTTCATCCCAGTGACTCCACATTTCTGACAAATCCATCACACTTAATTTCATGAGAACGCCAAGTCAAATGCTGACATGACAGCAGAAATTTAAAGTGGAAGATATGTTGAATTTCAGATCAGTTTTTGGAGAACATGCTGATATGCTGTGGGAATTATGATGAAGCCAGACATAGAGATTGAATTCCCTCTTTTCATATGGTCAAAATATCTTTCTCTACCTTTCTCTTTCTGGTTATTGTCCACAGCTTAAATATTCTATTCCTCTTGCAACTCAGTAAAAAATATAAATCTATTATATATAAATATATAATAGAAATATTAATAACATTTTGTATCTTGTGATGATTAATAAAACTTGTTTGTGAAGTGATGCAGCAGCATCACTGTATACATGTCTTTTTTATTTATTCTGTGTTTTATTTGAAATTAATTTTTTAAATTATATCTGATATATTGAACGATTTTATGTTTTCACATTAACTATACCATTAATTTTTCTGAATTTGGAAAGAGAAACAGAAATTGCTCTGTTGCTGGTGCATATTTGTATTGAATATTAAAAAAAAAATAGACAACCCTAATATGTAAAAACGAGAGACAGAAAGGGTACTCTCATTGCTTTATTATATCCTGCTAGATGCTATGATTTTTACTACTTACATGAACCTTGCCTCTAAATAAAGCCGAAACAACTCTTTTAAGATATACCATGTTTTATTGGCAAAATACATGTAACGTGTGGTTATATTTTAACTTAATACACTGAGTTTATAAAGAATGAATATGAAAAAGATTGTTTAAAAACAACTGTCTACTTTGGCACAAATATTGAAAGCTATTTCAGTCAAATATATGGTTTACTTCTATGTTCACATTACACATTATACTGGCAAATTTCAAAATCAAAATGACCATACAATATATATAATAGTTTTACATATATTTATCTGGATTTTCAGTGATTCGGTTCTCTTCCTGGAGTGCATACTGTACTTGTCAGTAACTTCCTTTAGAGAGACATAGTACACAAGATGAACTGCAAGAGGAAATTGAAGATATTGTTACAACATGTTACAACAGCTTCCCATAAGCTTTTAATGAAGTAATCTATTTTACTTCCACAATAATTCAGTGTGAACAAGTTGTTTCAGTTAAAACAATCTCTGATATTAAAAAAATAAGTGCCAATGAGGCAGAAAAACAGGTACTAAATGTGGCAAATTAGTTTAACCATCACTTACATCATCATACTGGAAGTTCACCATTCCTTGCTGCATTGCATCTCTCCTCTTGAAATTGTCTATAGAAAAAAAAAACGTCTCATATTGTTTGATCATAAACATTTTTAAAAGACTATTAGTATTTAAACAGAACACTCAGTATAACTATAATAAGCACAATTATAATAACCAAGTTTTGTATGGATTTGAATTGCTCCCTCACCTGTAAGTGCCCTTAGCTTCACAAAACAGGCCACATAGTCATCAAAGTAGATCTTTCCTGACCTGCTGTAGCGTTTGATGATGGCGTTCAGAGCCTGAGGGCTGATTCGGTACCCTGTGCAATCATGACAAAATATTCAGTTACATCACTGTCTTAGCCACATAGTACTTTTAGTGCAACTGTGTTGGCTAAGAGACCCCTTATAGAAAAATGTATATTGCATCCTGTAGTTTTCAGTTTGATTTTATCTTAAAGCCCCAAATGAGTGACATTTATTTTTTGATATATACTTTGCCCTGAGAACTAGGTACTTTTTCATCTCAGTCGATAGAAATAGTGTTACTTGTAGGAAAGTTCACACTCACCCATGTTAGCAATACACTGGGACATCTCATGAGGTTCCACCGTTCCACTGCAGTCCCTGTCCACCATTACGAAGTTCTGCTTCCAGCCATTTAGCACCGCAAACAGTTCTTTAAACTCATTGAAACCCATCTTTCCAGTGTAATCTCTCTGCACATACATGGTTAAAGAAACTAAACAACAAGAAGGGATCTGCTGGGTTACTGGGACTAGCATGAAGCAAACTTTTGACTCAAGTTGGAGAGATAAGAACAGTGCCAGCCAGAACAGATCTGTTTTATGTTTCTGTGAAGGATACATCCAGCATGGCAACCATAATCCTGCAGGTTTCCAAACTGAAGGCTGGGAAAAAAGCAGTGAGATGGTCATTTTAGACACTTTACATCTCAACTAACTCTCAATAGAGTATTAGTAGACTATTAGGTTAGGGTTAGTATAAGTTGACTTGTTCTTGTAAAGTTACTTATATTCAGTAGAATGTCTGTTGACCATCAAAAAAAAGGTTAGCAGATTAAGCAGATTGGTAGACTGATAGTTGACGTGGTTGCAAAGTTACTTATAGTTAACCATGTCTAAAGTGGACTATCAAAACAAAGTGTTAACAGATAATCCACTCACTCTATATTAATAATTTGTTAGTCCAAGCATTTGGAGCTGCAATTTCTTTTTCTACTCTCTCTGTACTTACGAGTGTAGGTGCCACTGATTCCAGTCTGGGTGAGGCACCTTTGAAGTTCTTCAGCATCAACTTCACCATCCTGACATAACAATCATGTTACTACATGTTACAACAGGAGGGGACAGAAAAGACATTATATCCACATTCACACAGGCTGCGCTCACCTGACCAGCTACTGCTGTGAAATAGCCCCACATTGGGTCCTGGGTAGGAGGAGCAGAAAATGTCCCCGGGTAACCGGCATATGGCTGTGCTGGGTAACCACCTGCAGCAGGAACCCCTGGCATTGCCATACCCTGAGCAGGAACTCCTGGCATTGCCATACCCTGAGCAGGAACCCCTGGCATTGCCATACCCTGAGCAGGAACCCCTGGCATTGGTGGACCACCAAACTGCAAGAAAAAGAGCGACACTTTTAATTATCAATGCACCAAAATTAATGTTTTACTGAAAAGCTCAAACCGAAATTAAGGTACTAAGGTAAATATAAAAAAATGTATATAAACATTTAAATTGCACATACGGCAGTCTATATCAACTTTAATTAATGATCCAACTATGTTTCTACTCTAATTTGTTGTAAATATGATCATTTAAATTGAGACTGCAATAAAAACTTGTTTTCAGACAGATTTATTTAAACATACATTAAATAATGAACACAACATTTTATGGTTAAAGGGGTCATATGATGCTATTTTAAAGATCATTATTTGGTGTATTTGGTGTAACAGAATATGTTGACATGCTTTAATGTTCAAAAAATATTCTTATAGTGCATCTACTTGAGCCAAATGCTCCTTACTAAAGATTTTTTTCTAGTTAACTAACAAGCTGTGGACATGGCTTTCCTGAGGTAAGTGTAATGTTACATTATTTACAAGCTTTTTTTATTGACGCCTTTCCACAGTTGAAATACTGATTACATGAGATGATACATTTCAGTAAATTGTACTGGTTCTTTCAACTGATACCTTCTGATTTTCATTCATGTTTATTTTGTTCTATAACTAGTAGCAAAGATGAAGAAATTATCAGTTCACGTGCACTTTGGGCAAATGTCGCAAAAGAAAAAAAAAATCAACATTTATTGTTTGAATTTCGTTTGTGAAACTGGCAAAATTTGAAAGCTCACGCTTTGTTTCATATTAAAAGTAACAAAGCACAAAGTTTATTTCAATTATTGGACGGCAGGCTCGCTAAAACAAATGTATTGTTATATGTAGGGCTGCACGATAAATCGCATGCGATATTTAATGCGCATATTGTCAGAAAGCCGGTTCTGTAATCAGCGGTAAATCTCCATCACCTGCGTGCTTTCACATTGAGCAGCATTAACTACACAGAGCCGTTGTTTACTGACCAGCTGCGCAAAAAATCGCGCGAATATGAACGTGGTTTTGCGCAGCTCGTCAGTGAACAACGGCTCTGTGTAGTTAATGCTGCTCAATGTGAAAGCACGCAGGTGATGGAGATTTACCGCTGATTACAGAACCGGCTTTACTGATAAGATGCGCGTTAAATATCGCATGCGATTTATCGTGCAGCCCTAGTTATATGTTTTGTTTGCACATTAACTGATAACAGCAAAGACAAAAATACCTCAGTTAATCCAAATGAAGATTGACTAAAACCAAGAAATAATTATCAGATGAATATTTTCAGTTGACGAAATTTCGGTGCATCTCTACTTTTAAAACATTTTAGAACAAGGAGTCATTCAAATTCAAGTGGTCCGCCCATGAAAACAGTCCTATTTACAACTAGAAGAAAAGAAGAATTCAAAGAGCATTGAATACTGAGTAATGTATTCCAATTGTTAAATACCATGAACTTATATATAAAATTCCACTTGGATTTGCTCCACAACACACAATTATCTAATTATACTGATAACAAACATGGCCTGACACACATCCCACTGGGTTTTACCAAGAGTACAGACAGGGCAATGAGTGTTTGGCCTAAATAAACTCCAGCCTACATGTTCATAGTTGAGAGGCTGATGCATATATAAGTGTGGTTTCTGTGGTAAAGACCGTGCAGTTGTGTATATTCCTTCTTTTTGTCCACTTTAACCTATGTTTGTACTAAATCAGACGGGTATATAAGATCAAGCAGAGTCAGAAGAACCATGACTTGAAGCAGAAAATGCCAGTGAAAGTAGCTATATTTAAAATGTCAGGAGGAAATTACACAGTAGAAAAAAAGAGATTACACTACAATATACTGTGACATTAAAAAGTAACATGCTAGCATGGGGACCAAACAATTGTTTAAAATGCCTATAAGCTTATAAAATAGTATTGAACTGAATTACTTTGTATATATTGTTCTGCTTACCTGTATTTGACTACACTTTTAGAAAAAAAAATTAAAACAATTGTACCTTTAGGGCTACAGCAACCTGTCGCTGGAACAGTATCCTCAAAGGGACATCTCTGTACTTTATTTACCCCAAAAAAGTATTACTTTAAGGGTACATATGTACCTTTTAGTGATAGACAAGGTACAAAGTTGTCCCTTTAAAGGTACTGCACCAGTGACAAGCTTGTTAATATAAATAATAATTTTATAATACAAATTGATATTTATATTATTTTTGCACATTTTCTTTTTCAGTCAGTGATGGATAACTTCCATAATTGTTCAGAATTTATTTTATTTGATTAATTTATTATATTAATACATTAAGACTTGTCTTAATCATTAATTAAACAGATTTTAAGGTTTATGCTTAAAAGGGGTCATTCATATAGTCAGTGATGGATAATTGTTCAGAATTTATTTTATTTGATTAATTTATTATATTAATACATTAAGACTTGTAAGACTTGTCAATTAAACAGATTTTAAGGTTTATGCTTAAAAGGGGTCATTCATATAT